GGCCGCCGCGTGCACGTTCGACGCTTGCGTTTTGCTTTGGCACGTGCTGCTCGCGCGACTGTCACTACTGGTCGTTGCCCAGCCGCGGGCGAGAGAACCGCGGCAACCATCAGCCGGGGTCGGGGGGCTTGCGAGCATACAAGAGCATGCGCGCACTGAGCAAACACATCATAGTTTGGCCTCGTGGGGGCGCCTCTTGGGGTCATCCTGGGACCTTCTTGGAAGCCCCGGATGCCTTCGTAATGTCAGGCCACATTGTCGGACCCCCATCAAATAATGAATTTGCCTTGACAGTTGCCCATGGGTTTCCAACGCTCGCCTCTCGAGGTCCTCGCCGGTCGACCATGGTTTTTTTTTCGGGGCGCTCTAGGGGCAAACGCGGGGCAATCTCGGGCGTCTAGGGCCATCTTGCAGCCGTCTTGAGACCTCGGGGGCCCTTCGCAAGCGGCATGGCCATGATGCTAAACTCATCGAGCTTCTATCGGATTGTGGGGGCGTTGCCCCTCTCGAGGGCGTCTTTGAGGGCTCCCGTGGCAACGTGGATCCAGCTTGGGGCCATCTGGGCACTCTTGGAGACAGCTTGGGCGCCATCTTGAGCTCACTTGCGCCATGGTTCGTCATTTTGGATATCGCATGGCAACATTGGGGTCCATCGCGGGACCTGCTCGGTGGGCTCTTATTCCGAGCGCTTCGTGCGGGGCACGCTGGATCGTTATACAGTGCGTCTCGCGCGCGGCACGCTGGTCGCTCATATTTTCGTAGCGTTTTCGCGCGAAACACTCGGTGCAGTTATTCCAAGCGCTCTGCGCGCGGCACGCTGGCCATTCACATATTTAGAGCGCTCCGCGCGGTGTGCGCTGAATCTTGATTTTGAGCGCTTCGCGCACGGAGCGCTGGGTAACTCATCATATAACGATAGAAACGGACCGCATGCCGCGGCCGTAGCGCAACGCGGATATGCGCGTGCGCAAGTGCCCCTAACTATTCAGCTGCCCAAGGCCATTGCTGCCGACGCGCCGTTTCAGCACGATCGGCGGCTGCTGTTCGATTTGATGAAGATGGCCACGATGTCCATTGTGTAAACGAGAAGAGGAGGAGGATGATTGCAAGCGAAACACGCGGCTCCTTTCTCTCGGACTTCTCGACGAACCCGCAAGGGCCATGTTGGGGTTGGCCGTGGTCCCTCCTGGGCGTATGTGGGGCAAGCATGGCTGCCCCTTGAGGCATTGTTCTGGCCGTCTTGGGGTTCTTTTGGGGTCCTCGTGGTCGTCTGGGGCGATTTGTTTGGGTCGTCTAGGGGCCGTCTGGGGCCGCCCGAGGATCCTCTTGGGCCCATTGGGTTACCCCAGAAACTCTTCAAGGTCAGCCGCGTACGCTCTTCGGTTTGCCATGGGCGGCCCACAGGCGCCCTTTGGCTGTGCGGGGGGCAGTCTCGGAGACCGCTCGGGCGATCTGGGGGCCCCTTCGGCGCTCGCTGGTAATCGCGCAAGCCTATTTGGCCGCCCTGGTTTGGCGCGAGCTCGAACAGGCCAGGGCGCGATCTTGCATCGCTGGGGGGGGGGCACGTGGAGAATTTGGCGTGTCCCAACCATCCGGTGGTGTTGTGCCGTCGTCCTCAAGAGGCGCAACCCCGCGTCGCCCTCCTCCTGTCCCCCCCCCGCCCCTCCGCCATCCCTGCCCCTGCTCCGCCCCCAGCATCTGCGTTTCGGGTCGCCCCTCACGCGCTGCGCGGCCCCGCAAAGGGGCTCCGCCCAAAGCCTCAGAGGCGGCGTTCCCACGCGCCCGCGCCGTCCATTGCGGCGTGCCCCTCGCGCGCTTCGCGGCCTCGCCGGGGGGCCCGCCCAAGGCGCCAGCGGCCGCGCGCGCGCGCGCCCGCGCAGTTCATTTCGGCGCACCCATCGCGCGTTTGGCGGTCTCTTCGGGAGCTACGCCCAACGCCCCAATGGCGACGTGCACATGCGTCCGCGCCGCACATTCTGGCACGCCCTCGCATGCGACGTGGCCACATGCGGTGATCCACGCACGGTCTCAGCGGCGCCGTTCCCATGCGTCCGCCGAACTGCGCACTTCGACGCGCCCTTCACGTGCGTCGTGGCCCCAGATGGAACCCACTGCCACAATGGCGACGCCCCCATGCGTCAGCGCCGCGCTCGTCGGCAGACCCATCGCGCGTTCCGTGGACTCGCAGGGGCGCCCACCGAAGACCGCAGCGGCGACGTTCCCATGCCCCCGCGCCGTTCATATCGGCACAATCTCCACGCCTTCCGCGTAGCCAGAGGGGACCCCCACCCAACGATCCAACGGTGGTGCCCCCCCGCGCCCGCCCCGCCAATTTCGGCGCACCCCTCCCGCGCTTCGCGGCCCAATGAGGATATCCACCCAAAGCTCCAGTGGCGACGTTCCATTGCGCCCGCGCCGCCCATTTCGGAGCAGCCATCGCGCGTTTCGCGGCCCCATAAGAATCTCCGCCCGAGGTTCCAGTGGCGACGTTCCCACGTGTCCGTGCCGCCCATTTCGGCGCGCCCCTCGCGCGCTTCGTGGCCCCATCGGGAGATCGAGCCAGTGCCTACGTGGCAAGTTTCCCATGCGTCCGCGCCGCGCAGTTCGGCGCGCCCCTCGCGCGCTTCGCGGCCCCATGGGGAGCTCCGCCCAAGGCCCCATTGGCGACGTGCCCATGCGCCCGCGCCGCCCATTTCGGCACACTCATCGCACGCTTCGCATTACCACGTGGGGCTCCACAGCCCGAGGCCCCAGCGGCGACGTTCCCATGCGTCCGCGGCGTTCACGTCGGTGCACCCCTCGCACGCTTCGTTGCCCGATACGAAGGGTTTCTATCCAAGGCCTTTGCGGCGACGTTTCCGTGCGCCCGCGCCATTCATGTCGCAGTGCCCCTCGAGCGGTTCGTGGCTCCATCGGGGGCTCGACCCTGGGCCCCAATGGTGGCGTTTTCTCGCGCCCGCGCCACCAATTGCGGCACGGTCCTCGTGCCGCTGGTGAGCCCATGAGGAGCTTCACCCAGTGCCAATTGCGCGTGCGTGGCCGTGCGCGCGGGGTCTCGCTGCGACGTTGCGCGAGGGGAAGGAGGGGCGCTCGTCCGTCGCGGGGTGTGCGCGCGCACGTATCGTTGCACGTATCCCTTGGCATGCGCTCGCCCACTTAGTTCTAGACGCCCCCTCCACTTCGGCCGTGGGTGGAGTTCCCTGTCGGGACTGATTCGCGCGCGGGCTGCGCCGAGGTTCGTCGCGGGCGGCGGGGCGCGAACGACCCCCCGATTGGGGCAGCGCGCGAAGGTCAACGCGGGGCGCGACGCGTGCGAGGGGCATGCCGCCACGGGCGGGGCCGCCGCGAGCGGCCGACTGCGGTCACCCGCGCCGTTCGCTGCGGTTGCAAGAAACGACCATGCCAAGAATCAGCCTGGCGGTGGCTTTCGGGGGGGGGGGGTTCAGATGGGGTCCCGGGCTGCCTAGCAATTGCGTGCACGATGCCTCCCCGAGCTGGAGATTGGAGGTGGACCGGGGTTGACACTGCCAGGGAGGACCCTGGCTGATTGCGATGGTTCCGGTGGTGCCGCTGTTCGTTGCTCGCTCTTCCTCGCGGCACGATCCGTTCAAAGCCACTCCCATACATCCTCCTGCGCGTCATCCTGTCCATTCCTGGACTCTCGGTGCTGCACGGAAATGTGGAGGGGGGTGGGGGGGCGCTTTGTTGCCCGCGCCGCCGCCCCGGAAGGCGAGGAGGTATCGGGGATGAGGGCCGGGGAAGGCGAGGAGGTATCGGGGATGAGGGCCGGGGCAGGACGAGAGCGATGGCGCCCTCGAAGGCGCGAAGTTATTCGCGCTTAGCGGTTCGGCTCCGATTTCTCATCCTCCTTTTCTCCCCTGGGGGGCGGCGCGAGAGCGCGAAGATATTCGCGCAGCGCGAAGCACGAAGTTGGGCGCCCTTGGGGAAGGCGGAGGGGGAGGAGGGGAAGGGGAGGGCCTGGGAGGGGTACGAGGGCGAGGAGGAGGAAGAGGAGGAGGAGGAGGAAGAAGAGAAGGGCAACAGGAGGAGGAGGAGGAAGAGGAGGAGGAGGAGGAGGAGGAAGAGGAAAAGGGAGGGCAGGAAGAGGAGGAAGGGGAGGAAACAGGGGGTAGGAGAAACGGGGGAGGGGGAGGAACAGGAGGAGGAGGATGATGAGGAGGAAGAGGAGTAGGAACGGAGGAGGAGGAGGAGGAGGAGGAGGAGGAGGAGGAAGGAGGAGGAGGAGGAGGAGGAGGAGGAGGAGGGAGGGGGAGGAGGAGGAGGAGGAGGAGGAGGAGGAGGAGGAGGAGGAAGAGGAATAATAATAATACTAGTAATCATATTAATCGTAATAGTAATAATAATAGTAATAATAATAGTAATAATAATAGTACTAACAGTACTACTACTACTACTACTACTACTACTACTACTACTACTACTACTACTACTACTACTACTACTACTACTACTACTACTACTACTACTACTACGAGTAATAATAATAATAATAATAATAACAATAATAATAATAATAATAATGATACTAATACTACTAATAATAATAATGATAACAATAATAATAATACTACTACTACTAATACTTATATGAATAAGATGAGACGAATAATAATAAGAAGACGAATCAGAAAAATAAGAAGACGAAGCAAAATAAGAAGAATAATACTAAGCAGAAGAGGAGGAGGATGAGGAGGATGAGGAGGAGGAGGAGGAGGACGGGGGGGCGGCGGAAGAGGGGCAGTTGGAGGAGGAAGAGGAGGAGGAGGAGGAGGAGGAGGAGGAGGAGGAGAAGGAGGAAGAGGAGGAGGAAGAGGAGGAGGAGGAGGAGGAGGAGGAGGAGGAGGAGGAGGAGGAGGAGGAGGAGGAGGAGGAGGAGGAGGAGGGGGGGGGAGGAGGGGGGAGGAGGAAGGAGGGATGCGGGGGACCACAAGGGGGGGAGAATGGAGAGGAGAGGAAGAGGACGAGGAACGGACGTGCGCAGAGCTGTTTTCAGCTACGAACGCGCGATTTCCCGCGGCCACGGCCGCGACGACCCCGCCGCCGGCCAGCGCGCACCGCAAGGCGCGGGGATGGACGGGGTGGTGGCGCTGGCCGTGACGGCAATGTTGGTGGTGGCGGTGTTGGCGATGATGACGGTCATGGCCGTGAGCATGGCCGAGATGGCCGTCATGGTAATGTTGGCGATCATTATGGTCATGGGTTAGTTTGCTACGACGACTGTGATCGAGATTGCCGCGGTGATCATGGCGACATGGTTGTTGGTGTCGTTGGTGGACGACGACGGTGATTGTGTTCATGTGGTCGCTGCAAGCCGCGAGAGGGCTCACTGCAGTTGGACAAATCCGTATCTCCCGACCTCTCTTTCTTTTGCCAGTTGCCTGGTGGTGCCCTCCCTTAGGCAGGGGAGAGAGATCGAGAGAGGGAGAGCGAGAGAGAGAGAGAGAGTTCGTGTGTGCTTACATATATATATATATATATACACATTTATATATATATTTATATATATATATATATATATGTATATATGCACGTGTTTGGCGGTAGCGGCCTCGCGCGCAGCGACGAGGCGGAGAAAAACGAAGTTCTGAACGCGCGGACGGCCGGGCCCTCAGGAATCGTTTGGGATTCCGCAGCATGAAGCACCATACACTCATCCGGACGTGGATGGTAGTGACGCTCGCCATAAAGCCATCCGGCCATGGATGGCAGTGAGGCCCTCCCCAAAAAATATTCAAACACGGATGGCAGTAATGAAACAGGAGGGGCTCGTTACCGCAGTCCGAAATGATCGGACGGGGAGCAGGGAGCAGCGAGAGCCACGGGCTACCGCAGGAGAGCGTGCGCAGCAAACGTGAATGGTGAGAGGGGGGGCGGCGAAGGAGGATGGATCCAGCCCAGAAGCAGGCCTGGCAGACCCGAGCGCTGCACTGGGGGGAAAACACGGCAAGAGGGAGAGAAGGGCAGGGCGCGAGGGCGAGAAAGCCCGCCAAGAAACAAGAGTAGTGTCAGCGATTGCCCCGCCCCGACTGACCGCGGGAGGCTGGCCGCTTTCACAGGCTGTTGGCGGCCTCCGCAGGCATCGGGGACCTGCCACCGGAGTGGGGGGGTACTGGTGAGGGTGCATCGCGGGGGCCGGAGGCCGTGCCCGCGGGGTTTGGGGACGTGCCGCCAGTGGGTGCTGGTGAGTGAGCATCCCGCAGGTGCTCCTCCGCGATAGACTTCATGAACAGGTAGAGGAGGTCGTCGGGGACATCGCTGGAACGGTTGTCACGGGTCGCAGCTCGGCCCCCTGGCGACCCAGATCGTTCATTGCACCTAAATCAAGTGGGCAAGAGCGCTGCTATGCCCGACGGGTTTAGGGCCAGGGGCCGAGCTGCCCGCGGCCTGCCCCTGGGGAGGGGCGGCGGCATTGGGCCCGACGCCTTGCTGGCGGTCGCGGGCAGAAGCGCAGGTGGGCAGGGTGCCTCCGACGGGCCTCGGCGTAGGCGCAGTCTGCGCGGGGGCCGCCCCGCTGCTGGCGGCGGGCCGAGCCCTTACCGCGGGTGGCGCACGTGGGCTTGGGCAGGGGAGCCGCAGGAATGCCCGGCGGCAGGCGGCGGCGGGGGCGTTGGGGCGGGGGTTGACGCGGCTCGGCCAGGTTCGGCAAGCCGCGCCCGGCGGCCCTCAGACGCCGCGCCGAGGCCAGCCGACATGGCGCTGGGGGGAGCCAGCCTGATGAGACAGCGAGTTGAGGCCGCGTTGGAGCCGCGCGTGCGCCCGCCGTGAGATCTGGGCGTGCGCTTGGGACCAGCTGGCGCGCGCGGGGCCAGGTCCGCGGCGTTGGCTGGTAGGCCCATGGCTAACGCGCTGCGCCTGCAAGGTCGCGTCGGTGGGAGAGGAGACGCAACGCGCCGCGGCTGGGCGGCGCCAACGGCGCGCGGAAACTGTCGCGAGACAGGCCGAGAATTGGCAGCGCGGGAGCGCCCCGCGGGATTGGCGGGGGGCCCGCCCTCCGACGCGCCCAGGGGGTGGAGGGGCGCTGGGGGGCGGGGCAGCGCCCAGCGGTGGCGCGGGGGAGGAAGCATCGCGCTGCCTTTTGACCAGTTTGTCCGCGAGCTTCATCTTTGCGGCGCGGCCCGCGCGCCCCCAGTCGCGCGGCTGCCTGGCGCCCCGCGCGTCGCTGCGTGAGCGCCGGGAGGCGCCGGGGCTCCAGGTGGCTCCCTGACGTTTCCCGCCTGAGCGCGGAAACCGCTGGCGGGGGAGGCAGCGCCGCCATTATTGTGCCCGAGGCAGGGGCTCGGGGGGCGGGGCGAGATTTGCCTTGCGAGCTCTTAGCGGCCGCAGGCGCGCCCCAGGAACTGGCGGGGGAGGGCTTTGTTCGTCGCAGCTGTCAGGGTCGCCGCGGGTCTTCCTGCGCCCGCGCCCGGAAGTGACGCCAGAGGCAGGCCCGCTCCTAGCCCAGCTGGACCCAGGCACCGACCGCCGCCGCCAGGCCCCGCGCTTCGGGAGGTCGCGCGCGCGCCCGGGCGAGGCGGGCAAACGGGCCAGCGGCGGGAGGGGCGCGGAAGGGGGGTCGCGCCTGCAATCTTTGCTTGCGCCGCGAGAGCCGTCGGCGCACGGTGCGTCGCGGGCGCGCCCCGGGTGAGAAAGAGCGATGCTGGCGGGAGGCGCGGCTGCGGCCCGTGGGGCCTGCCCGTTGCCGCCGCCGGGGCCCTGGGGGCGGAAGCGGCGGGGCTGGCTGCGCGGGCGGGATAGGCAGCGACCGCGGGGGCCCGCGTCTCGCGCGGTCGGGCTAGGGCCCAGCCTGCACGGACGAACCGAATCATGGCAACGGGCCGTCAAGGGAGACCTTCTGGATGACGTCGCGGGTGACGCGCCGCCAGAGCAACAGGGCGGGGCGGCCGCGGCATTGCCCACCCGGCGGGGGGGGGTCCGAGTTGCCGGGCCACTGCAGCGCGAGCCGCGCGCGGGTCAGCCGCCAGAGTGCGCGGCGGGGGCGGGGGGCCGCCAGGGCCCTGGGGGCTTGGCCCAGAGCCGTTGGCGCCCGCGGGCGTGAGCCGTGCACTCGGGGCGCCCTTGCCTCCGTGCTCTGGGCACCCCGGCGCGACTCAGCAGCCCGCGTGGCGGCGCAGCGCCAGGGTCGGCTTTGTTTTAGGGGGGGGCATCGAGCCCCCGCGCGCCGTCGAGACCGGCCTGCCGCGCCCGGTCGGGCAGTCCAACCGCAGGTGCGCCCGGACAGGGGCCTGCTCGGGCGGGCGATTCGTGGGGGGGGGCGCCGCTTGCAGCGGGGGGGTGCTGCGGAGGTGCCTCACCGCGGTGGCGCGCGGACTCTGCGATTGCAGGGGGCTCCGCCGCCCTGGCACGCCCTCGCTTCGTCGGCGGAGTTGGGGCGGACAGGGGCACGGGGCGCGACGGGCGTCGCCAGAGGGCAACGGGGGTGCCCGCCGCCCCCTTGCCAGACGAACTTGGCGCAGCCCGCGGCAGCGCCTTCTCCAGGGGGGGCCGCCGCGCCAGGGTGCCCTCGCGGGGCGGGCGCGGGCCGCGCGTGGACGCGGCAGGCCGCCGCCCCAAGTTCGTCGGGCGCCGGCAAGCGAGCAGCGGCATCAGACCTGCGGGGCGGGAAACGCAGGCGGCGCAGGGCAAGCGCCAGAGGCGGCCCCCTTGGCAGGTGCAGCGCGCGCGCGGGCGGCGCAGCGACCCCTGCGCCCTCCAGCGCGAGGCAGACTTGGCAGGTCTGGGGCGCTGGGTCCGGCTGGTCCGCGGCCGGGAGATGCTCAGCTCGGTCATGGCCGCGGCGCGCTCGTCCGTTGGTTTGCGATTGGAGCAAGCTCTGCGGCCTCGCAGTCCGCGACGCACGAAAAAGGAATAGTCGAAGGAGGGAGGAGGGAAAAGGATGATGATGATGATGATGATGATGATGATGATGATGATGATGATGATGATGATGATGATGATGATGATGATGATGATGATGATGATGATGATGATGATGATGATGATGATGATGATGATGATGATGATGATGATGATGATGATGATGATGATGATGATGATGATGATGATGATGATGATGATGATGATGATGATGATGATGAGGAGAGGAGGAGGAGGAGGAGAGGAGGAGGAGGAGGAAAAAGAGGATTAGGAGGAGGAGGGGGAGGAGGAGGGGGAGGAGGAGGAGGAGGAGGAGGAATATCAGTATGAAAAAGACGGATCAGGAGGAGGAAAGGGAGGCGGAGGAGGAGGAGGGGGAGGAGGAGGAGGAGGGGAGGAGGAGGAGGAGGAGGAGGAGGAGGAGGAGGGAGGAGGAGGAGGAGAAGGAGGGGGAGGAGGAGGAGGAGGAGGAGGAGGAGGAGGAGGAGGGGGAGGAGGAGGGAGGGGGAGGAGGAGGAGGAGGAGGAGGAGGAGGAGGAGGAGGACGAGGAGGAGGAGTAGGAGGAGGAGGAGGAGGAGGAGGAGGATAGGGCATTGCAGTCCATCTGTATAGTAAGGAAGACCACGATGACATGAGGGAGGAGGATCTCGAGGGGGAAGAGGAGGGGAAGGGAGGAGGAGGGTGGAGGAGGACGGGACGAGGTCGAGGACAACGACGACAAGGACGACGACGACGACGACGACGACGACGACGACGACGACGATCACGACAATCACGGCGGCTGCGGTGGCGGCGGCGGCCACGGTGGTCTCGGCTCCGCGCGGCGCGGCACCCCGTCGCGCGGAGGGCCGAGTGATGCCGCGCCGCCGCGCACGCGGAGCCGCCAGCAGCACTTCGGAGGGCTCTGGCAGCAGGCCGCCTGCACCGCGCCCTCCGACTCGTCGTCGTCGTCGAGTCGAACCAGCCCTCGTCGTCCTCGTCGGGTCGAACCTCGTCGTCGTCGCCGTCGGGTCCTCGTCGGATCGAACGGGTCAAACCTAGTCGTTTTCGCTGGGTCGAACAGATTTCCAGGAAGGCCCACAACATCGCTCACAAGCACATCTGGCGCGCGGAGCGCGCCAGCAGCGGCGGCAGAGGCGCCGTCAAGGTGGCTCCAGCGTCGGTCCAAGAAAGCCGAGCGGACCTCCGAAAGTTCATGCTTGTGCCCCGGGAAAGAGCGGACCTCCGAGAAAACCGAGCTGGCCTCCGAGAAATCCGAGCGGACCTCCGAGAAGTCCGAGATAGTCCAGGGGCCCCTCGTCCTCGCCCTTGCCCGTCACGGGAGGAGGAGATGCCCATGCCGCTGCTCAGAACGTACCCCTGGGAGATGTCCGGGGAGCGGCACTTTCGGTACCTTTTCGTTGCCCATCTGCTTCGTGCCCTTCGTCCCTCGTCCTCGCCCTCGTCGTCCAGAGACCCTCCCTCGTCCTCGTCCGCCATGATCCCCGACCTCGTCCAGGGGGTCCCCCGTCTCGTCGTCCTCGGCCTCTCCCTCTCGCCCTCATGTGGCTGGCCTGGGGGGAAGTGAGCGCGGCGAGGAGGCCCAGCGATAGGTGCGCGGAGGGCGCGCGCCGGACTGTGCGGACGGCATGAGCTGTGCGCTTGGCTTGCCTGCAGGCTGTGTCCTCCCTCCTCGCTCCCCCCCTGGATTGGGGCCGCGGCTCCAACACCAGGGCCAGCTTCTGGGGGACATGAGCCGCCCCATCCCCATCCCCGCTAGGCCCCCAAGTGGCCCAGCGACAGGTAACAGCAGTCCTGTAGACAGACGCCAAGATCGCTCGTTCGCTAGCTCCCCCCTCCATTCGGCCACGCGTAGAGAGGGGTAAGGGGCAGGGGGAGGGGGAGGTCTTTTTGGAAGGATGCTGCTTCTTAGAAGAAGGTGGCCCTACATAAATAGATAAGGACCGCGCCTTCCAAGAGGCAGGATGCTTCTAAGAAGCCTTCCCTCTCCCCCTACCCCCCTTCTGCGCGTTTCTACACAATTCATATCAAATGTTAAGCATATGTTGGAATCCACTGCCCCTCTGGTCTGAGGCAGTTGTATAGGAGGGGGAACAGAGGACAGAGTGTTTACACAGTTTGGAGGAATTAGTGAATTCAGTATGGGTCGGGCGTGGAACGCCTCGAAGAAAGCGCGCGCACCCGAATCGCAAACATATGGCTTTATGCGGACCCAGGACAGTTTGCTTCCCGTCGTCGTCCTCGCCGTTGCTCCGTTCCCCTTCCTTTCTTCCCCCCCTGGATAATGTCGGGCGCGTCCGTTGCTCCGCTGTGCTCGGAAATCGAAAAAGGCGATATACCGCTGATGCGGGCACGCGGCACCAGGGACTCCGCTTTTCGAACATGGATGGAAGACGAGGTGATACGACGGACGGTGAAGCAGGGAAACAAAGAGAAACGAGGAATAACGAGGGAGGTGGGAAGGGGCGCTCCCCCGCCCGAGCCAAACAGAGGCGATTGACAACGCGAGCGTTCGGGGCGCGCTCCAAACGCGGGCGGCACGGCCGCCGAGCACAGTCGCATCGCTAACATGTAAATAATAGGTGCCTGCGGCAAGGTCCCCCCCTTTTACCAGAACAGCGGTCTGTATGGCGGCGCGTGGAGCTTTGACTGTTCAGAGGTCCATGGCATGTGACACCTCTCGTGTTTTCGGATTGTTGCGCGGCACTCTTTGGGGTCATTCGATGCCTTTTCGGGACGTTTTCGGGCCGTTGGGGGCCGCCTTGATGCCGCGTTTCAGTGCGGCCGCACTGGGCCAGGGAAGCGTGTATTTTCAGCTCCCTCGGGGGCGCCCTGGGCCGGGGAAGTGTGTATTTGCATCCCCCCCTAGCTGGGCATGTCGACTTCGGTTCTGGGTTGGCAAGGTCGGGGCGCCCTCGAGGTGGCGAGCGTTCACCTTTTCCGAAATACACAGATCAAGGTGTGATTTGTGTACACAGTTTGTGTCTTCAACTGTGTATTTTCGTGTGTGTGTGGGCCCACCGTTTACACAGATCGTGGTGTGATCTGTGTACACAGATCTCGTTCCCATCTGTGTATTTGGAGTGTGCGCGTCGCAGGTGGTGTTGACTGGGCGGGAACTTTCACGTTCCTCTTTCGGCTGGTCCAGGGGGGGGCGTCGTACGCGGTCGAAATGCACAGCTCGCGTCTCCAACTGTGCATTTGTTGCGCGCCGCTCGGTGGAGTGGTCACTGGGCGGGAGATTTTCCGCGGGTCCCCCAGCTGGTCCAGGAGGGGGCAGTGGTCTGGGCATGCAAAGGCGCGGGTGGGTGGGGATGGTGGGCTGTGGGAAGGAAGGGGTTCGATAGGAGGGGTGGCCAAGGGGCCAGGGATGAACCGGAATGGACGAGAGGGGGGGAGACGGGCCCAGGAGGAGCTGCATCACCGGCGTCAGCATCACGAGGACGAGGGAGGCGGGGGGGGGGGCACAAGGAGGGGGCATGATGTGCAGTAGGGCGTGGAGGATGGGAGGAGGGCGGGCACGTGGACGATGGGGGAACTAATCCAGCGGAGGAGGACGACAAAGAACGACATGAATTGGCACATGGGGGGGGGTGACGACGTGGATGAGGGGCATGGTGAGGACCGGGGGTAATCGGAGTGGCATGAGGAGAGTGGGGCCAAAGCGAAGGGATATTGGGAGGCGGCGAGGGGTGGGGCATGAGTTTGAGGCGGGCGCCAGCTAGCGATTAGCTGACCAGTGTTCTGCGTGTCCGTGCCCCCCCCGGGCACAGCGACCGGTTGCAGAACCTCATGATCTGGGCAATCGTGCGCTTCGTGCTTCCAGGCCAAGGGCTCGAGTCCACGACGCTCCTTGGCGTCGCGTTGATGCCGCCCCGATTTGCCAGACCGCATATGCAAAGACAGGCATAATATGTGTTTGAACGTTTGTTTCATGACCCTCTCTGTAGTCACAGACCCACGCTGGAAACCAACGTACATTTCGATGTTTTTTTCAACAAAAATGGAAACGAAAAAGAAGATATTCGGAGTCCCTCGCGGATTTGTTGGATCTGCACAGGGCACCCTGGCGCGCTCCGCGCGCCAGGGAGGGGGTCCAGCGCCGTTCCACGGAACCCACGCAGACCTCCGAAAGTGTATGTTTATGTAGCTTCTTGTTCCCCCAGTTCTCCTTCATTGTCGTCATGGTCCTCGTCGCCGCCACCGCCGTCGTCGTCCGAGGGCCGAGGGTCGAGATATTGGGTTCCTAGCTCTGGATGCCTCTTGGACACCGTGCTCGCATTACCTCCATCGTTTCGAACATGCAAGACATCCTCATGCTAGACATCCGCTTGGGGAATATGGACACGGGCAAACAAGCGTTTCACTCGAGACGTCCTCAACACATCGTCATGCTAGACATCCACGTGGGCGACATGGACGCGTGAAAACAGGCATTTCGCTCGAAACATACTCAACATATTTTCATGCTAGACATCTGCCTGGACAATCCGGACGCGTGAAACCAAACGTATCGCTGGAAACATCCTCAAGATCTGGGCACGTGAAAACAAGCATTTCACTTGAGATATCCTCGGAATTCTGTTCCCCAGGCGAAAAAACACACATATATATATATATATATATATATATAACACAAAACAAGCGTTTCGCTCGAACCATCCTCAAAACAGTTCTGAGAAAAAAACATATCGCTCGGGACATCCTGAACAATAATTCCGCCGGCCCTCTTCTCGCCGATTCCGGGTGCAAACAATTAAAAGAGAACCTTGGGCCGAAGCTTTTTCCGGAACGTGGATCGACCCACGAACCCAGAAATGAATATATAATTGTAACGTATGGCAACGTTTTCAAAGACACCTGATTGGGTGACGGGCAACAGAAATGTTGAGTGCATCGATCTCGATGGACCCTGCCGAGGACAGTGCTGTGCTGCACCGTGCTGAATTGCGATGTGCCATGCCGCGATTGTGTTCTATAGCGTGGTGGATCGAGTCTTCCTTTGCATCCTACTCCTGACCGAATTGATCTGGATCTGAAGCTCGAGTTGCCTGAACACATAGTAGCCGCCCCAGAGCTAATTGACAGGGGGACATGCCAGGGGGACGCGCCGCGGAACGTCTCAAGCGACGCAGTAAGCGAGGGGCCAGGGGACGTGCCATGGGGACGCACTGCGGGACGTGCCAAGGGCACGTGCTACGGAACGTGCCAATGGATATGCCACGGGATGCGCCAGGGGGCGTGCCACGCGACGTGCCAGGGGGACTCGCCAAGGGACGCCCCACGAAATGTGCCAAGGAACGCGCCAGGTTGCAATGCTGAGTGTGTCGATCTTGATGTACCGTGCCGAACTCTGTGCTGTGCTGCGCCCTGCTGAACGGCGATGTGCCATGCCGCGATGTTGCTCTATAGCGTTGTGGATCGAGTCCTCCTTTGCATCCTAGTCCTGACCGAGCTGATCTGGATCTGAAGCTCGAGTTGCCTGAACACATAGTAGCTGCCCCAGAGCTAATTGATAGGGGGACATGCCAGGAGGACGCGCCGCGGAACGTCTCAAGCGACGCAGCAAGCGAGGGGCCAGGGGACGTGCCATGGGGACGCACCGCGGGACGTGCCAAGGGGACGTGCTACGGAACGTGCTGGGGACAAGCGTTTCGCTCGAGACATCTTGTCACAATCCTCATGCTAAACATCCGCCTGAGCGACCTGGACACGTGAAGACAAGCGTTTCGCTCAACATATCCTTAACACATTCTCATGCCTCATGCTAGACATTCGCCTGGGCGACCTGGACACGTGAAAACAAGTAGTTCGCTCGAGACGTTTTCAACACCTTCTTATTCTAGACATCCGCCTGGGCGACCTGTACACGTGATAGCAAACGTCTCGCTCGAGACGTGTTCAACACCTCCTC